AGCAGTATTCATGTTTCTTGGACTTGGTTTTCGTTTCATATATTTTGGAAGTAATCTTGATCGCATATATTCAAGAAAAAACGTCTTTTGGTTGAGATATCCGGTATTATTTCGAAATTTGCAGTGAAGATACTGTTGCGAGCAGGGGGGATGTTAGATATACTCGCAGCAGTCTCTAGACGTGAGGATCCTCGGGGATACGTGTTGAGAATTTCGTATGTTGATGGGTACCACCGATGCAGATACGGGGACCCTTTTGGCCTTGGTTGCGGTGTTGAAGGCTCGCGCATCTAGCGCACTGCTTTCGCTCTCTCCACCGCTACCGCCGTCTCTCTCCAATCAAGTTTCCTTCTCCAACGCTTTCTCCAACGCCAACGCCATCTCTATCTCTACCGCTCTCTCTCGGCCTAACAAGGCCGACTACCCACTGCCCCAAGAGACGCCCAACACGGGCTTGCTGCACCCCGCGTACTTTACCATTCATACGTTATTGTAGTTGAGGATTTGTTGTCTGTCTCCCTCTTTATTGCGTGTGCTTGCGTGTGCTTGCGTGTGCTGGTGTTTACGGCACGCAAAACTTCACAAGGGAGGTAGATTTGAGAAAGTTAATGGTGTACATTCAGCGCCGGAAGATTGTTACTTCCTATAAATAGCTGTACTGGGCTACTAACTTCTGGGTACAGCTAGAAGAAACCTATAGACTTCTCAATGCTTCCGCGACAAGTACGCGACATTTGACCTTGGCGAAGACGAAATAACACACGGCACACCAGAACCAAAGGACGCACAAATACTATGCGTCAAAACGTCATCAATCCAAGCACACCTCAAGCCGGCAACATACCGAAGAGGGGCTGCCGACTAGTCTAAGGCGGTGGCATCACCTTCACCACGTGCAACTCCCGTCCACAACAATTATTGCAATTGCCGTGCGTTCAAGTACTCACTCCCCCCCCCAGGCCCCTCCACCTCCAACAAGAAAGACTAAACCGCCGTCTCTTAGAGCGCTTTTTCTCCCCGAGCACCTTCGCCCTCCCGCTTCGTCCCCCCTCACCCCCACTTCACCCTCCCCCTTCTCCTCCTCCTTCCCCCTTCCCTCCCCAAGCTTTCTCTTTCTCTCTCTCCTCTGCTTCGGACGGTACCGCGGCTGGCTGCGGTGCACGCAAGCGCAAGCTCGCCCAGGGGCTGCAGGGGCTGTTACTATACCCCTGTGCATGAAATGTGCCCCCTTCATACATAGGATGTATGTATGGGCGTGTTTATGTAGGAATTGGTATGGCGTCGGGGGGGGGGGGGTGGGGGGGG